CAGGCAGATCCGGCTGCCTGTACACCGCAAGCCCGCCGCCGGTTCTTCTTTCTTCTAATTCCTTTTCCTTTTATTTCGCTTCCCTTTTCTTCTCTTCCTTTTTCTTTAACCCAGTTCCCCGCTTCAGCCCGCCCAACGGCCCGCAAGCCCCCAAGCCGCCGCTGCGGCGCCGCCGCGCATGCGCCAGCAGCTAGCAGCAGCGGGGAGCTGCAGCAGCACCAAGCTGCTTCTCTTCACCTTCTGCTGCACATTTTAGAATCCTAAGCCCAGTTAAAGCCCATTTTTAAACGCATGCAGCGCCGCTGGGGCCTTTGCTGCTAAAGATAGACACAAATCGACTTTGCTGCCAAACCGCAGAAACGGCAGCAGCAGCACAGCTTCTGCAGCAACACACAGGGGGCTACCTGCAGCAGCGAGTGCTGCCTGCTGCTGCTGCGGGGACCCCAAGAGCAGCAGCAAACTAGTAGATAGAAGCAACTAAGCAGCAACAAAACGCCACATTCACAATGCGAACCACCTCCACATGCTGCTGCTGCTGCTCCTGCCGCCACTTTTGCTGCTGCTGTTCCTCGTGCTGCCGCTGGTGCTCCTGCTGCCGTTGCTGCTGCTGCTGCTGCCGCTGCTGAGACGCAGCTGAAGAGCTGCCCAAAGCCTTGCTGCAGGGGAACGATACGAGAGCAGCAGAAGGGGCCGCACACTATCTATTTTGGTCTCCTCCTCTTTTGTCTCTTTTGTCTTTAAAGTGTCTCCTTAAAGGCAGCAGCAGCAGGTGCTGGTGCTGCTGCCGCTGCTGCTGCTGCTGCTGCTGCTGCTGCTGCTGCAGCAGTTCGTAAGCAATTGCTGCTGCTGCAGTTCGTAAGCATCAGCCAAGCGCCAACAGAGACGCGCCCTTTGACGCCTGCAGCTGCTGCTGCTGCCCAACAGAGCGCCGCCGCTGCTGCTGCTGCTGCTGCTTAAGCCTTCGGCAGCGTCGCAAAGCTCACCATGCTGCTTGCGGCGCAGCGTGCTGCTGTTGCTGCTGCACGGCTGCTGCTGTTGCCTGTTCTGCTGCTGCAGACCTGCTGCTGCAACAAATGCTTTGCCTCGTTGTTACTGCTGCTGTAGTGCTGCCATATTTGCCGCTCCCGTAGGCTTTTAAGTGCTGCTGCTGTTGTAAGCAGCTGTTGCTGCTGCTGCTGCAGCCACGGGTGCTCGCACTGCAGCAGCTGCTGCAGCTGCCGCAGAAGCGATAGCAGCAGCGCGAAAGTGCTAGAACGGTCTTGTTTTCTTGGCCACTGGTCTACTTATCCTGCGCGGCTGTCAAGCAGCAGCAGCAGCAGCAGCAAGCAGCTGCAGCAGAAAGCAGCAGCAAGCAGCAGCAAGCAGCAGCAACAAAAAGCATCAACAAGGAGCTCCGGCTCTCAAATGTTGCGCTGCTGCTGCTGCAGTAAAGATAGCTGCCGTGGTAAACATAGCTGCTGCGGCTGCTGCGGCTGCTGCAGCTGCTGCTGCTGCGGCAGCAGCTGCAGAGAGTCTCAGGGCCCGCTGGGCTTCTTGTTGCTCCTTGTTGAGGCAGCAGCAGCAGCTAAACGCGCCTCCACAGAGGAGCTTTTGCTGCAAGACAGCTGCTGCAGCAGCTGCTGCAGCTGCTGCTGCAGCTGCAACAGCTGCTGCAGCTGCTTCCTCAGCTGGCCTCATGTGTCTATACAGCTGGGGCGAGCAGCAAAGAGCTCAGGAGACACCTGACGCCCCACAGCCTTTTGGGACAAATCTAAAGACAGAGGAGAAACAATATTTTTGAAAATAATAAAAACACTATCTAGGAGACACTGAAAGCTGCAGCAGCAGCAGCAGCTGCAGCAGCAACAAAGAGGGGCAGCCGCAGTCCCCGCAGCTGCAGCAGCAAAGAGTGATATCAGCAGCCCCGACAGCTGCAGCAGCAAAGAGCGCCAGCAGCTGCCTCAGCAACTGCAGCAGCGGCAGCAGCAAATGGCAGCAGCAAAAAGATACTGCTGCTGCCGATCGTTAACTCTCTAGCGAGGCCCTCTCTTCAAGCACTAACTTAGGGTTTAGGGTTTACAGTTTAAGCTTAAGGCGTGCAGCTGTCCGAACACTCCAGCAACTCGTCAAGTTCTTTTGCAGAAGAGTTCAATGCGAGGCAGCAGCAGCTTTTGCTGCTGCTGCTGCTGCTGTTTTTCGCGCTGCTGCTGCAGTTGCTGCTTCCTGCTCCTGCTGCGTGTGCTGCTAGTCATGATGTCTAGTAACCAGCAGCAGCAGCAGCAAAGCAGTAGCAACACGAGCATCACAAAAAGCTGTACCAGTGAAGGGAGCTGCAGCAGCAGCAAAAGCTGCAGCAGCAGCAATGGCTGCTGCGGCAACAAAAGCTGTGGCAGCAGCAGCAGCTGCTGCGGCAGCAAAAAGCTGCAGCAGCAGCAAATGCTGCAGCAGCAGCAAAAGCTGCAGCAGCAGCAAATGCTGCAGCAGCAGCATCAGGAAGGGTCTCGGCTTTGGGCGAGGGAATGGGAAGGCCGGCAGCAGCGACACCGCACGTTCCTGAAGAACAAACCCTAAACCCTAAACCCTAAACCCTAAACCCTAATTTGGAAACCCTTACGCCCGCAGCTGAATCGCCGCAGGCCCCCCAGCACCAAATTAAATTCGCCACTTCAGACATTTTGATCTTAAAACGCATTAAAAGCCCAAACCCTAAACCCTAAGCCCTAAACCCTAAACCCTAAACCTTAAACCCTTACAGCAGCTCCAAGTCCCCTTCTTCGCTGTCATTTGCAGCTTTTAAGAGACACTTCGAAATTCCATTTGCTGCTGCCCACCGGGGGGCCCCCGAGCGCAGCGATGAGACCATCAAAACCCTAAACCCTCACACGCACACCCTAAACCCTAAACCCTAAACCCTCGTGGGCGGACCGGCCCCCAAACCCTAAACCCTGGAGACCAAGACTGCGCGGCAAGAAGTCGCAGCGCGCACATCAAACCCTAAACCCTAAACCCTCAATCACGTGACCACCCGTAGGGTTTAGGGTTTAGGGTTTGGACTCTTTGATACTTACACAAAGTCCGATTGGTGCACAGCAGCAAATCGCAGCTGCTGAGAAGATAGGCAAAACTCCCAGGTGTCCTGCAGAAGCACAAAGGTGCTGCTGCTGCTGCTGCTTTCCTCACTATTCGTGCTGCTGCAGCAGGAGCTGCTGCAGCAGCTCCTGCTGCAGCTGGAGAGGCAGGTTCTAGGGCTGCAGTTTAGAAAGAGGGTTTTCGGGTAGGGTTTAGAGTTGGGGGGCGAACGAGGGTTCAGAAAAAGGTTTGAAATTAGGGTTTGTGGCTAGGGTTTACAGTCAGGGCATGCAAGGAGGGTTTGTGGCTAGGGTTTATAACTAGGGTTTGAGATGAGGGCTTGCGGCTAGGGTTTACAGCTAGGGTTTGCGATTAGGGTATGTGGCTAGGGTTTACAACTCGGGCTTGTCATTAGGGTTTTGCGCTTACAAGGAGAGAAGCCTTAACCTCTATAAAAAGCTGCTGCTCTTTGCTGCTGCTGCTCCTGCTGCCGCCGCTGCAGTTTTTAAGCTTCAGCAGCAAATCAAACGGAAGTCCCGATTCTTTTTCACCATTCAACCAGATGCAAGTGACTTCTGTGGCTGCCGCTGTTGCTGCTGCTGCTGCTACTGTCCCATCTTCTGCTGCTGCTCCATCTGCTGCTGCTGCTGCTGCTGCTGCAGCGGCGGATTCTCTGGAGACCGACCAGATGGTGTTTCCTTCCTGTTCTAGGCAGCAAACCGGCAGCAACAGCAGCAGCACTGCGAGCAGCACCTACAGCAGCAGCAACAAAGGAGCAGCAGCAGCAGCGCTGCGAGCAGCAGCAGCAGCAGTCTGCACTGCTAGACAAAAAATGAAAGCAGCATCAGCAGCATCTCCAACAGCAGAAACGCCAGCAGCATTACCCGCAGCAGCGGCAGCACTACCAGCAGCAGCAACAGCAGCGCTACCAGCAGCAGGCCCAACAGCAGCAGCAGCATTAGCAGCTGTGGAAGGATAAGCAGCAGCAGCACATGAGCAACAGCTGCAGCACTACCAGCAGCGGCAGCACCTGCAGCCGCATCAACAGCAGTAGGAGAAAAGTTGCAGCTGCAGGTCTAGCAGCAGCAGAAGCAACAAATAGCAGCAGCAGCAGTAACAGCACCAGCTGCGATAGCAGCCGCACCAGCAACAGCGCCAGTAGCGCTAGCGGCAGCAGCACCACTAACGGCAGAAGCAATAGCAGCAGCAGCAGCACTAGCAGCAGCAGCACTGGCAGCAGCAGCGCTGGCAGCAGCAGCACGAGCAGCAGCAGTACGAGCAGCAGTACTAGCCGCAGCAGCACGAGCAGCAGCAGTACGAGCAGCAGTACTAGCAGCAGCAGCACTGGCAGCGGCAGCACTAGCAGCAGCAGCAGCAGCAGCAGCAGGCTCACCTGCACAATGTCTCGCAGCTCAAATCCGAAGTGCTTGCAAACTTCCTGAGGGACAATCTTGGTGAAGGCTAGAAGCTCCCCCAACCTGAGAAAAAGAGAGGGTTTAGGGTTTAGGGTTTAGGGTTTGGCTTCGCAGCTGCTGGGGGCTTTCCAGACGAAGCTGCTCGGCAGTGACCACCGCAGCAGCAGCAGCAGCAGCAGCAACAAACTCCCCAAAAGAGACAGCAGCAACGGCAACAGGAGCAGGAACAACAGCAGAAGCAGCAACATGAACAGCAGCACGTGCAGCAGCAGCAGCAGCAAGAGCAGCAACCACAGCAGCAGCAGCAGCAGCAGGAAGTGCAGCTAACCTCCCTGCCTGCATGCGCCTGTCGACAAACTCCGGGAGGCTCTTCAGCCACGCTGGAAGCAAATGCAAATTCGAGCAAAGCCCTAGCGGGCTGCTGCTGCTGCTGCTGCTGCTGCTGCTGCTGCTGCTGGTCCCCCTGCTGTCTGGGGGCTTCGGTGCGCCCACTTCGGGAGGAGCATCCACCCAGCTTTCTGCTGCTGCTGTTCTTGCTGCTGCTGCTGCTGCTGCGGTTTTAGCAGCAGGTTCGTGGGCAGTTGGCGGGGCAAGAACGTCTCGTGCGCTGCTGCTTTGAAGCTCTCTGCTGTTGCTGCTGCTGCTGCTGCTGTTGCTGCTGCTTATGGGTTTGGCAACCAGGCGCTGTAGGACTTCAGCAGCAACTCGATGCCTCAGGCTCTCTGGCGAGAATGGCGCGGGCTGATCTTGCTGCTCCTGCTGCTGCTGTTGCTGCTGCTGTTGCTGCTGCTGTTGCTGCTGCCGCAGCATCGCTTGTGTCGCTGCCTTGGGCGCAGCAGCCAGCTCCGCCGCCCCGTAAGGCTCCCCCGCTGCTGCTCTTTCACTGCTGCTGCTGCTGCTGCTGCTGCTGGTTTGCTGCTGCAGTATGAAGACAGCTGGGAGAGGCGCTGCTGCTGCGGCGTCTGTACAGCCGTCCACTTCCATCATTTCAAGAGCAGCAAAATGGCGCTGCATTTCTGCTGCTTCAGTTTGGCTCAGGAGAATCTCTCCTGCTGCTGCGCTGCTGCTGGAGAACAAACTGCTGCTGCTGCTGCTGCTCGCTTCGCCGCTGCTGCTGCTGGACGGCTCCGGGGTTTCTTCCTGCTGCTGCTCCTCCAGCAGCTCCGCTGCTGCTGCAGAAAGACCCTGAAACCGCAGCAGCAGCAGCTGCTGCTGCAGACTGCTCCCTACCAGCACGCTAAGCCACTTTGCTGCGTAGAGGCCCATACAGCAGCAGCAGCAACTGCTGCTGCTGCTGCTGCTGTTGCTGCTGGCAGCATAGACCACGTGGTTGTGCAGCGACAGCGCCACCGGGACTGCGAGTTCTGTTGCAATCGCTTCTCTTGCTGCTGCTGCTGCTGAAGCAGCAGCAGCAGCCGTGGACTTGCCGTCTGCTGCTGCTGCTGCTGCTGCTGGTGCGCTGACAAGAAGACACAGCTCACGAGCAGCAAGTAAAGCAGCACCGCGCCACTTCCACCGCAGCAGGTGCCACCGACGCTGCTGCTGCTGCTGCTGCTGTTGCTTCTGCTGCTGCTGCTGCTGTTGCTGCTGCTGCTGCTGCCGTTGCTGCTGCTGCTGCTGCTCCTGCTGTTGCTGCTGTTGTTCTTGCTGCTGCTGCTGCTGCCACTCCCTGGCTTCATCTGCAGGCAGCAACAGCGCATGCACCTGCTGCGCCTCTTCTGGCTTCGGGGCTGCCGACAGCAGCACAGCAGCAACGGGTTGTACGTACACCCGACGCAGCAGCGCAGCAGCAGCAGCTGCTGCTGCTGCTTGCTGCTGCACTGACACAAAACAAGGAGAGCTGCAGCCACAGATGCACCCCGCGCTGCAGCTGCTGCTGCATGGCGACCCCGCGACCCAGCCCTGCTGCTTCTGCTGCGGCTGCAGCTCCTGCTGCTGTAGCTCCTGCTGCAGCAGCAGCTCTAGACTCTTTGCAACTCCACCTAGCAGCGAAGCCCTCAGCCTGGCATCCGCCGCCGCAGCAGCAGCAGCAGCAGCAGCACCAGATCCCCA